ATGCACTTATCCAGGTAAGTGTTTCCTAGAAAAAACTTACTCTAATAATTGCATTTACCCGAGTAAGTAACTTACGGAAAAGCGAATGAACCTAAATACTCAAATTAATCTCCGAATATTAATTAAGATAGTACTTTAAGCTAAATATGGATATTATTACCTATAGAGACTTNAGACATTAAATTGGATCGGTCCAAAATGGTCCAAAATATTCATTGGACTGAATTGAACCTGATCCATTTATAATGGGCTCACATTGAATTGGATCGAATTGGACCAAATCCAGTCCAATTGACACCCTAGAAACCAGTACGGCTGCCGCATCCCTCTTGTCTTATAGAAACAAAATCTTTAGTAAACAATATATTCTTATAATACAAATCCAATTTCTTAAGCCCCTTACGCTTTTGGGCTGAAGTGGTTAGGAATCGATGTTCTATTTMAAATCCATTGTACATGGTCATTCCCAATGTCTGAATCATTCACATGTAAAAGCCAACAATGTTTAAATTAAAGACCCACAAGACCTTTGGAAATTATCTACAACACCATAGAGTGGTTATTGAGGTCAAGAGGTAAACATAGGTTAAGCCTCTCAACATAGGAACTTTTCCTAGCTGACGAAGAAGAAGAGCTAGGGTTTTTTCTTAATAGGTTTTTCCCTCTTTGATGTAGGCACTCATGGCAAACCAGTTGCATGCCCACGCGTGGCAGAGGGCGGCACACACCGCGGACCCAATAGGGACGTCGTGCGGAGCAGAAGCCAGTGTGCAATGCGGGCCCAATGGTATGGCCRCACACACACAAGGCCGGACTGCATTCTGGTCGTTCGTGCACACCTACATCCAAGCAGTCTCAAGTATAAATAGGGGGTGACCCCCCCTAAGGTGAGGGATCCAGACACTGCTACTTGGAGCTCAATTACTTCCATTGTAACCTCGTCTAAGTTATCCTAATTCAGGCCTCGTCCACCTCCCATCACACTCTCGCTAACTTGACTGTCGAAATCTCCACCTCGGGTTAGCATCCGGGGCCTTTGACGTGCTCTCTTCCTCTACAAGACTGACCTACAAGCCCTCAACCACACCAGAGCTCAGACTTATTAGCCAGCCCTCATCTTGGAAGCATAATTACCCTGTTGCCCTTGGCCCATGTGAGATCTCAATAAGTTCGCGCATGCCTAACGTATAAAAACTTGAATGAAAATGCACCTCATCATACACGAAAAGCGAGTGTAGGAGATCCGAGSTCGCAAAAAGGATATAAGTCCTTAAAATAAGGAATGCCAAATGCTCACATTGATATTCATAGAGARATGTTCCCAATACACAATAGAATGTATTGTGAAGTATAAGGCAAGCTCTCTGAGGAATAAAAGATACCTTGGTGTTGGCAAAAATATTAAAAAGAAGTTTCTTCAAATAGATGAGTCTCATACAAAAATTTATTTGTTGCATGGTATAACCAAATAACATTTCAAACTCTATTCGAAAAGTGCTTATATAACATTGAACTGACGTTGTTTTCACATAAACAGCAACTTAACCAAATAATATCTACATTATACGTAAAATGGGACAAAGGCTATGATTTCACAGTTTTAACCAAGAGCAAACCACTTTTGATAGTTGTCAGAATATTTATCAAGTGCTCATTGAATGTGCTTACCATATTGTGCCTACAAGATCTAGCTGAAACTCCTCCCCAATGATCTCCGGTCCATGGGTGAG